GAGGAACTAGAGATGACTACTACTAGACAGTAGTGATCTTCCTTAAAGAAACCTGTAATTCTCTTTTCCCTGCCTTCTTAGTGGATCCACACCAGTATCAATTAATTCCTGATGACACCTTCAGTGATATATTTTTGATAAGATAGTTAGTTAAATGGCTTATATCATCCAGCACACCGAGTGGGGACAAAACCAGTTTTGCCCTCACCATCAGTTTGATATCACTTATTCGTTCCTATAGTCTCTGATTCGTTTAGTTAACATAGGAAAAGTAAAAGGGACGATCACAATTTCCCTCTTCAGGCATGTGGTCCATTTCATATGTAAGCTGAAGAATTAAATTAGTTATGAAGTTGTGTTGATTCAAAGGATATGACATTTAATTTGGCAACTAGCTAATGTTTTTCATAAGCCTAAAACATGAAAGCCTAGTAGTAATTGTGACTGAAGTAAGAGGCTGAGATTTTAGTCTACCGGTGTTTTCTTTTAAGTAATTGTGTTGGCATTTTTTAATTTTGTAATGTATATTTTTAAGAGTGAAGGAAGTCAAATTTTTGTGACTCTGCCTTCATTTCTAATCTCTTTGTGAATGAAAAGCTATATACAGGCACAAATCCAGCAGCTTAATTCTCCATCTGATTAGAGCAATGTTACCAACCTGATAGGCTGAAAACAGCCAAGATCCATGCAGTGGCTTAGCCTCCTGGGAGGCAGAGTAATAACAATCAAATGAAGACATATTAAAATGTAATATTACTTCCTCTCCGTAGGGACTGTGTAAGAATCATAGCCAGGAACTGTTCTTGTCAGCTGATTCTGTTTCGCTCACTCATTCCCTGCCTCTGCATTTATGACTAATACATTTCATACAATAAACAGAGCTTGTGAAGTTTTAAAAGCAAATAAATGTAAAAGACCATACATTGATTTCCATGATTTCCATATATATGTGTGTGTGTGTGTGTGTGTATAACCAAGGGAAGGCAGAACTGGTATTGTATGCTTTGGTCTGAATAATTTCCTTACATCTTATGGTAAGGGAGGTAAGTGTAAGTATGTAAGTAAGGCAGTATTTTATGAAACTGAAAATGTACATTAACTTCTCCAAAATAAGATTGCATCAGGAGACTCAACCATAATTTTGTAAGAATTCAGTTTTTCTGAAAGTTGAAAACCCAAACTTAACATTCCTTATAAAATAACAGCTGCTGTTGACTTCAAGGAATGCCGACACATGCTATTAATACAGGGCTCAAACATGATTTTTTTACTTACTGATGAAAATATTGCCTGTAAATTATTCTGATTTTGTCAGGAAATGTCAAAATTAACAGAGGCTTTAGGGCCATTACATGTGTTTATTTGTAGGTATGGATAAACTGTTGACTGAATAATTCAGTGTGCTTTTGACTGTAATTAATAGAAGTGTTGCCATTGGCACCAGTGGAACAGGACAGCTCTCAGAAAATCAGCAGTACCTATCCATCAAAAGATTAAAAAATATTTTGTTGACTGATTGGCGACATTGTACTTTCTTCCAGTTTCCAATATGCTGCTATATTAATATAAAGTGAAGTGTGTGATGCTGAGAACATTTAATATTCATGATCAACTTTGTATTAATCATTAAATATGTTTAGTAATGTTACTATTTAGGTAGCATCTGTTCTTCTTAGCAGAGAGTCGTATATGGTAGTTCATGTGTGAGTAAACGCTTCTAAAATATATCCATGTTCAGACCCAAATATATACATTTAAAAAAAAAGTATTCTTTTTTTCCTGAATGGAAGTTCCAAAATTTGATAACATAAATGCATGTGAGAGTAGCATTTCCCTTTTAGACATGAGGAATTAGTGATATGTTTCTTTTACACCCTAAACAGATAGAGTTTGGGTTTTTTAATATAACATCAATGTACCCAGAACTCTAGGTACTGGGTTACTTTCCTGCAGGACTGTAAGTGTAATGGAGGAGCTTGGATCATAGTGGGTATAATTTTCACTTGGAGATCAATACAGAAAGACAGCTGCAAGTGTTTGAGGAATATTTTGTACTTGCTCCCTTCTCTGACTTATGCACACTAAACTGTCAAGGGGTGTTAGCAGTATAAAGCTGTTTCTCTGATGTCCCAGATTACTTCTCTCTCTCCATGCAGCTTTTTGAAGCTTAAAACTGTGTGTTTAAAACTACCCACTTTTTTCCTGGTACGCCAGGGATATGTGAGGTTATATATTTCGATAGTCTTAATGAATTTTGAAAAATAATTTCCTCTGGTGGCCTTGGGTAATCGTTGGTTTAATTACAGGGAGAAGCGGAGATTGAAACTTCGCTTTGTCACTGAAACTCTCCTCTTTGAAAATTCTCCATTCCTCAGGATGTAGCACTCTCTACTCTGAGCTATAACCTAAGCTTTCAGAAAACCCCTTGAAGAACTGTGGAAACGTGAATACTTCTGCAAATTCATTCATCTAACATCAAAGCTATGGAAGCATTCTTTTAGCAAGCGAGGCAGATTGAACTCTTGCAGGCACACAACCAGTCATTGTACATTCGGGCCTTCATTTGCAGACTGTATTTGAAGTAATTTTGCATTCTTTTTGCCATCTGACTTTTCTTATTCTATGCTGAGGTCAGACTGCATCCTCTGCGTCTTATTGTGGTCTCCTGCACTGTAGGTTAAATGGATAGGCTTTTAAAGAGTAAAAAGGCATTGATGTTCAGAAGAATCAGCACTCTATTCAATTAAAATCAAGTAGAAGGTGTTTAAAGAGATGTGAACCCCCGTAGCCGAGATGAAAAAACAAATGACAACAAAAAAGCAAGACAAAGTCGGTGTTTATTAGTTGTGCTTTTAGCTGATGCTCAGCTTTGGTATTGCTATTTACTGCTTTTTTCCCCCTGTCCTTGTGCTGGTACATTGGCAAATAGGTCATAAAAAACACTTTCAGCAAAGACACATTTGATTTATGTCCAGAACTGGTTCTTAGTATTGATTTTTTTTTCCCCTCTGGAAAAAAACAAAAGAAAACAAAACTATATGTCTCCATTATTTTCTGAGCCAGGCAATGCAGTGGCACATTTCAGATCTGCTTTTATCTTAAATTACTCATTGTGCTTTTTTATATTTTAAAAAGTTTTTTTGAAAGTTAGAAAAAAAAAGAAGTTTCAGGTACTTCCATTGTCACGTTTTCACAGTGGGTCGAGAGCAAGAGGAGGTGCTGGGAGGGCCCACGTATAAGGGAAAAGGACCGGTAGGAAAAGAAAGCACAGTCTGGGCAGTTTGTATGGTGGCTGTAATTTGAGTTAGTCACAAAAGAGGCAGAAGGGGAACAAAAACAAGAAGTAGATCAAAGGCTAGGAAGCAGCGGTATGGGGTTTATATCTTTACGGCTAGAGAGAAGATTAGAGCAAGAAAAATACTACCATGGGGCTAGGAAGACATTGTGAAGGAAAAAGGAAACATACATAGACTACATTTGAAAGAAAATCCCCAAGAAAGGCGAAAGAGAAGGAAGGAGAATTAAAAACAAAGATCTGAACAGTGTGAAGTCCTTGTTGAATTAGATCCCTAGCTGAAAAGAGAGAGGCTGGAAGTAGAAAAGTGCTGCTTAAGCAGTTCATCAGAGCCACGGCAAGCAGCAAGCTCTGTTATCTCTTATTTTCCATTTGTTTTGTTTTCAGTCGGTGGCCTGGAATCGGTGTGTGTGCTTGCATCTGTTTGTGTGTGTGTTTCGGGACTCGAATAAATAGCGCCAAGAAATGACGAGGGTACGAGATGAAATAGATCCGGGATCCGCACACGCTTGCGGGGGCTGCGGTGTTGTTATTCGCCTGCCTGGCTAGTCGGCGGTCGTTATTTTCAGGGTAGCGAGTATAGCTTATGAGCCTAACCTGGTCTTTACGCTCTGAATATACCGGGAAAGATAGCCGGCGTAAGAAAAAAACAAAGCAAAACCAAAAAAAACCCAATGCATTCCCTAAATAGTGGCGATGGAGCTGACTGGCCACGGTGTGTGAGCTTTGCCACCGTTATGGTGAGGCCAGTGCATTTGTCTCACCGGGCTCCGGCTCGCCCAGGTCCCCAGGGTGGTGTGGCTGGGGCTCCCCAGCCCTCACAGCTGGGGAGCTGCAGAGTTTTTTTCCAGCAGCTGGTTGGGTTTGTAAGCAAGAGCTGGCTCCGTGCTGCTCTGGGCTGGAGCGCGCGCACGTACCCCCGCGACTGCGTGACTCAACGTTTTGGATTCTCCAAGGGAGCTGGGCTTCACACATAAATCGCTTTGCAACGTCTGTCCGCAGTGAGCTTGCGCGGGGGTGTGCAGTTCGAGCAAGCACGTAGATAAGCGCGAACAATATAAACACCGGGGAAAGCACCCATTTGTTTGTGTAAGCTAAAAGGTTTCTGTGAGAATAGAACATATCCCCCCGCCGCCTCCGCAAATGCTCCTGAACGCTGAGGAAAGTGAGATTGTACTTTAAAATATTAAATGGTTTTCCAATCAGTGCAGAATCTCAGCTTTCACCTGGGTCTTTTGTATGTGTTCACTTCTTCCAGCAGGAGATTTGTAATAGAGGAAGCAGGTGTAACATGGTGATTATAAAGATATGGCTTTAAAAAAAAAAAAAGGTGATTTTTCAGTGCTTTGCTCCTTTGAGCCTGCCAGGGCTTTCTTTTCAGCCGACTCCATCACCTTTTAGGAAGGTGCTCTGTTTTTGTCCAAGGCAGTCAGTCAGTCAATTGTGCGTAGAAAAAAAGTTGCTGGGTAAATCTGAAACCTTGATAACACGTTCCTCCATTTGTATATATTGTACAGCTTACCAATGTATTCATTCCTTTGGCTTTCAACATTTCACAACTTTCCATAGGTCAACCTGCGCAACAAGAACAGGTCCTGCTAGATTAAAAGAGTTTATGCTTTTAGACACTCATGTTCACATCACTTTGCCTGTTGATTTCCTGATTTTTATTTTATTTTTTTTATTTTTATTTTTTTTTAATCAGCAACATCAAATGGGTCTTTGGAGGGCCTGGATAACCAGGAGGGAGGGGTGTGCCAGACAAAAACCATGAAGATCCTCATGAAAGTTGGACAAGGTAAAGACCATCTGCTGTTTCATGAAATCACTTTGATCAGTGTCAGTATCCCTTTAGTTTTCAGGCTTCTTTTAATAGTGTAGAACAGAGAGCAAACCGAGTCTAGTGTGGTCGTTCCTCCCTTATAGTCTGAAAGCAGAGCCTATTTTCTGTTCCTCAGCTACTGACAGATTTCTGCAGGAGGAGGGTTAGTGTAATAAGATCGCTTCATTGGAGAGCTCCCTAGAAGGAAAGGTCACCTGGGACTAACGTGTTTCGATCATTTTTATTTTTATTTTAAAAACAAAAGCCACAACGTCACTATTCAAAATTATTTAAAATAAATGAAAGGAGGGAAGCTAATATTTCTATAGTTTGCTTGTTATAAATTCTGATTACAGAGAGGTTATTGTTCATTGTCTCTTTTCGTATATAGATAACCTATTGTGCAGAAAGAAAGAATTATTCTTCTAAGTACAAGTTGGTTTAGTAGTCAATCAGCTTCCTCGGTTAAACTGAAATGTCATCTGCAAAGCTTTTCTTACCAATTACAGGAATCCCTATAGTTTCTGCAGATGGCCTCACAATTTGAACCTCTGAAATAACTAATATAACCATTTTACTTTAAAAGGAAAATTACATTCTTATCTCATAGTCCTTTGCATAAAGATTCTTCTGTTCAAAGCTATTCATGTCTCATGAGATACATATAACCGGCTTATAAAGCTTAACATCATCAAACATCTAAGTTGCAGTGAATCATTTTTCTTTCTCACAGATCCCAATTCTGCTGGGTTACCTCGGAATACAGATCCAACGAAACGCCCCGAACAGGAAGCTGGTACCAACGGGAAAAGTTCCACGACGAGTCCATTTGTGAAGGATCATTCAGGTAGATATTGTGGCATTTTGACCTGGGAAGTGGCTCTGACAGATTTCCTCCTTTGTCCCCAAGTGTATTTTTATTTTAGCACCGAAATGTGATAAAATAAATATTTTCATACTGAGATGAAGCAAAAATGAGTTCTGATGCTCCAATGGATAGTATCTAGGAGCTTTAAGTTTTGGCAATAGCTACTCTTTCTCCTTTCACTTTGCAGTTGAAGTTAATTACATCTTATAAGAATATCACACAGGAAAGTTTTTGTATAGGACATTCTCTAAGCAGCTTTACGATGGTAAGTGCTGCCTTACATTTAGTACTCTGGCAGATGAAAGACTCTCTCTGTCTTTCTCTTCCCGTATAATACATTATGAAGTGGTTCTCGACAGCCGTTTATAAAGTTTATTTCAAGACACCTCTAATTAATGCCCTGATCTTTTAACTGATCATATAAAGTCTACGCATGAAGGAGTAGTCCTTCACAAAATTAAAAGTGGGTTTTTATTTTTTAATAATTAGCTTGACAAGATGAACTGATGGTCCCAAACAAATATCTTCAAAATGCATTTTACACATTAGGTGAACAAAAGCAAAAAACAACTCTTAAGGTCTCTGGAAGAAAATTCTGTGAATTTGGAATGTTACAGAGCAAAACTTGCTGCGAGTTGATTTGGAGGGTCTCAAAAATGGCTTCAAGTTTTCCTTGCTAGCTACATCATTTTTTACCAGGCTAATGAATCTTTGATGTGGCAGTTGTTGCGCAGGCTTCAGCAATTTCATGTTAAGGTTACGGCTGGAAAAGTTCATAGTTATGTGAACTTAGGGTCTGTAGTATTATTCTTCTGGGAGTGAGCATCAAGAGAGAGAAGAGTTATTTCAAACTTTCAAGTGAGGGAGTGTCAGGTGAACGTTCATTTAGTTCTTGTGACAAACTGATAATGTGATGGCGCCAAATATTCAGCAGGCTATTGAGCATGTGAGCTTTTCCCAGCTTCCATATATGTGTTTTTTTATTATTATTTTATTAGTAGTATAAGTTAAGTAATACACACAGATATATGTCATAACCCTTTCGCCTATCTCCCACACTGCCTCAAGCTCCTTTGTTTCGTTTGCAAGCAAGAAGAGTCTACGTAAATAGGCTCTGAGAGCTGTTTAACTTAAATCAATATCTAAAAAATAAAATAGCGAAACAGTGTGACACTGAACAGTGCCAGTTGTCCTGAGAATTTGCATTTCCCTGTGTTACTTCCCCCTTGAAGTTCTGTCTCACCCCTCTTGAGCTGGCCAGCATCTATTCAAAGATGCAGTGTGCATCAAAGGCTGCCTTGTCAACGCCAGTCCCTGCTGCTGATGGATGATGATGTATGAAACAGTGTGGTTTGGGAGCAGCATAAAAGTGAGACCAGCAGACACACAGTCTTGTTTAATATTGATTGCTGACTACGGCTGTTTGCATTTAGCTATCTAACAGGGTAATTGGTTTGTCAAAGTTTAGCTGTCAGTTAATTCTTCCGGTCTTGCTTACTCCACACATTTTTTAAAAGCGTAAATTGGTTGCAGGATGGCAATAACTTTTATCTATTGTATTTCTGTTCTTTCTAGGATCTAGCACAGATGGCAGTAAGGCTGGGCATTCCAGTATACTGGGTTCAGAGGTGGCCTTATTTGCAGGGATTGCATCAGGGTGCATCATTTTCATCGTCATCATCATCACTTTGGTGGTTCTTTTATTGAAGTACCGAAGAAGACACAGGAAGCATTCCCCGCAACACACTACAACTCTCTCACTTAGTACATTAGCCACCCCAAAACGCAGTGGCAACAACAATGGTTCTGAGCCCAGTGACATTATCATTCCTCTAAGGACTGCAGACAGTGTCTTTTGCCCCCACTATGAAAAGGTCAGCGGCGACTATGGACATCCGGTGTATATAGTTCAAGAGATGCCTCCTCAGAGTCCAGCAAACATTTATTACAAGGTCTGAGAAACATAAAACCAACTCCGTGGTACAGTTGAGTCAAAGAGGAAACTTACTGGTCAAATGCTTTCTGTTGGGGTTTGTGATGATGCCTTGTGCGCTAGTATTGACTCAAGCACAGGGGAGAAAAGGCGACAGCTGTTTCTCCAAGAGCCAACTTGAGCTGGACAGCTTACCTAGTCTGTAGAATTCCTATCTCAGTGAAGTATTCACTAAAAGCTGGAAGACTTTAATGTAGAAGATACCCATTCTGATTGCTGTACTCTTGTTACATTCATCATCCTCAAAGCCATGTGCTGCAGGCATTCAGGCATGTACAAAAGCCAAGGGAAGATGGAGTGATCCATGGATGTTAATAGTTCCAGGCATCCTGGGAAGGTGCTCTAGGATATCAAGCTTGAAATGCAATCTTCTGACTTTTGTGTCTCTCTCAGTGCATACCGGATTTGTCACACAGACCTTGGTGTCTAAGTAAGACTTTTAAAGTTCTCTTGCTTTTAGTCCGTCACTGTTCCATTTATTTCTGTTATCTGGGGCTCTGCCATCCTTCACGTAAGATTTCCTTTCACTCCACCTCCTGAATCACTAATGGAACATTAATGTTTGGAGATCTGTGCTCCATCCATCTGCTACAGCAGCCTCACTTGAATGGGTAATACGTTTATAGAAATTGTGTTTGATAGTAAGGAGCCTTCCAGCCAAAAAGTTAGGCTGTCAACACAGTCAGGAGAGAGACTGGGTGGTGGAGGGAAGGGCTGACTGCAGTTGCAATTGAGTACTGCTGCCTCAGAAATAGAAGCTGGGAAGAAGAAACCATTTAGGTAGCACAGCACTTTGGTATGCTGAGTTTTAAGAGGCAGGTAGGAGACACAATAACACGCGCAGTGGATTAGGGCTGCATTTGAAGGAATTCATGGTTATCAAATACCAGTGTGCAGAAAAAAAGTACCTTCAATACAGTAGAACAAAGGGGTATTGTTAGTAAACGAACAAGCTTGGAGAGGACAAGACAATAGTAGGCCACTGAGGATATATTAGGGCAGGGCTGTTGTGGTACTGGCAATAAAACATACAGCTTTGAAGCTGTAGCAAAAATGTAGTCTGCTTTGGATGACTTTTAAGCAGACTCAGCTGCTATACTATCACATTATACTAAACACAGGGAAAGCATTTAAGAAAATAGCAGAGAGCCAAATCTGACCAAGATGATTATAAGCCAATGGGTCAAATGAGCTGTAATTCCATCGTTGATAAAGTTGTAGTTAAAAAAAAAAAAAACTTTCTTATTTCTAAAAATAAATCAGATTTTCTTCTGACTGAGCCTTTTGACACTTTGGTAGTGCTGTCCCTGCACAGTGAGTGTAGGTACTGTAACTGACACAGCAGTTCATTGGTGCTCTGTTGCAAAGTTAAAGCACATACGGCAAACCTCTTGCAGTCCATAAGAATAAAATAAATTATGACACTGAGATGGAGAAGGAAGATATGTCTTATTTATAATAGGTGTATAGAACACAAGGGATATAAAATGAGAATTTTTCTTTCTTTCTTACTTTTTTGTTTTGTTTTGTTTTTTTACTAATATATATTTTGAGATTGCACAGAATCTACACCAGAAGATGTGAAATTCATTTGCGGCAATTACATAGTCTTAACTTGTCATCATTTTATGCACACACACACACACACACACACACACACACACACACACACACACACACACACACACATATGTGTATGTTTATGCATATATATTCAATTTTAAAAAAGGAAACTGCTTCTGGGAAAAACCAGCGACCATTTAAAAATAACAATAGTGAAATCATATACAAAAAGACCCGAAGCCCTTTAAAGGCATCTCATATAACAGAAAACTAGGAAATATAAGGCCCAGAATATCAGGAAATCAAATGTTACTGCATTGCATATTTAACAATGACAAGGTGTTCCGGAATTTATTTTCTGTGTTGTGTTTTCCCTTGCCTTATGGGCTGAAGTGTTCTGCAGATTTCATCGAGATTCATAGAGGGGGGTTTCAGGTTAAAGTTTTCTCTTTAGCATGATTATTCCCCCGAAGTCCCCACCTGAAAGAGGGGGGGGGGAAAATCTCTACTTTTTTATGTGCTATGCAAAATAGACATTTTAACATAGTCATGTTACTATGGTAACACTTTGCTTTCTGATTTGGAAAGAAAATGTAGCAACAGCATTTTGGGGTTCTCAGGCTTCCAGTGAGCACCTGCAAGAAAAAAAAAAACAACAAGAACAACAAAAATGTCATAGAAATGATTACTCTCTCTGTTTCCTGAACCTGAAAATGATGTTGGGATGTTAGTCCAAAAGAGAGAAACAAAACAAAAAATCCCAACCCATGGTTCTGTGGAAGGTTACCATGGTGACTAACTACAGTACATATGTAATTCTTTTCAACAACCCTTCCTTTCTGTGAATCCATCCATACAAGGTTCTCTTGTAAGTCATTAAGATTTTATTTGGGGGAGGGGGAGAAAGGGCAAATGTGGGTTTACTGATTCTGATTTTTATTAAATCAAATCTACGCTTCATCAGTTAGCTACATTCTAGTTATGTACTAAACTGTGAAAAAAATCAGATGAATTGCTGAAGAGCAACCTGCAACCAACTGAAAAAAAATGTACTGTGCGTCTGTTTTGTGTCTGGTGCAGAATTATGACAATCTACCAACTGTTCCTTTATTTGACGTTGGTTCAGCTTTGAAAAGTTACTGTAAATGCCTTGCTTGTATGATCATCCCTAGTCACCCGACTTGGAATTTGCACCATCATGTCTAAGTGAAGATGCTGTAAATAGGTTCAGATTTACTGTATATGGATTTGGGGTGTTACAGTAGCCTTATTTGCCTTTTTAAATAAAAAAAAAAATACATGAAAACAAGACAAAAATGGCTTTTCTTAACCAGATTGTGTATATAGAGCAATGTTGGTTTTTTATAAAGTCTGAGCAAGATGTTTTGTATAAAATTTGAATTTTGCAATGTATTTAGCTACAGCTTGTTTAAAGGCAGTGTCATTCCCCTTTGCACTGTATTGAGGAAAAAATGGTATAAAAGGTTGCCAAATTGCCGCATATTTGTGCTGAAATCGTGTACCATGAATATTTATTTAAGAATTTCTTTGTCCAGTTTGTAAGTAATACAGTATTATGCTTGAGTTATAAATAATTTCTTCTTTCAATAGTTTTTTTTTTGTTTTGTTTTTTGTTTTGTTTTGTTTTGTTTTTAAACTAGCCGGTCATAATTTGAAATCTGCTTTAGTTCCACATTGCAGTTAGCTCCCAGAAAATGAAAATTATGAAAATCACATTCCACGTCTGTTTCGAACTGAATTTGTTCTTAAAAAAATAAAATATTTTTTTCCTATGGAAACCTTGCCTTCTAAGTATTTTCTTCTTTTATGCCATTTTTATTTTTCTTTTTTAAAAGATAAAAATGAATGAGAAAAACACCAGCCTCTCTCCCGCGCTCGCTCGCGCTCTCTCTCTTTCTCTCTCTCTTTCTACCCCGATTGCTAGTGGGTTATAAGGAAAGAAAGATCTTTATAATATACTGACTTCTGTAAACCTACTTCTTTTCCAGACTTTCTCTTATGTATATCATCAGATTATAAAATCCACATAGGAATCTTAAGCCCTTTGAAGTCAGTGGGCTTGTAGCAGGTGCAATAGCCAGGCCAGCTAGGAGATAAGATTATAACCAGGCAGATAATACCCAGAAATGATGGGGTGGGCTTATCTGCCTTGCTCTTGCAGGCAGAGCAAGAGAAACAAATATACCTGAACCCTTCTGGCCACTGTTGCTGTCCTTGCTTCTCCTGAGGAAAAAAAATGGCCAGGCTGAGGTGGTGGGGGTGAGCAAGAAGGGACAGGAGATGGAAGAAGCTGGGAGAAACAGGGAAGGGGTAGAAATGCCAAGATACCCATATGTCTCTATATGTTCTTTCAACGGGGCTTTTCAGTGCCCTGTCCCTGTTTTATGGTTATGAGTGAAGTGTTCTGAAATCACAGACCTGTTGGTAAAAGTCAAGTTAAAGAAGGTTGGGGCCAATATGTGCAGATAATGCAAGCCTTAATACAAGATCTGTGGTTGTGTTGCTCTCTGCCATTTTTACTAGGATAACTGATACTCACATTTAACAAATATTTCCATTTTTAGCAAAGCGCCATCATCTTTGAAAGTGAACTATTTTTCAGCCTGCTGGCAATGCATAAATGGAATGATCATCCATGGACTAACAGGTGGGGCAGTATGAAGAGAGGAAAGATGGATTTGTCACTTTAACAACTGATGCCAATTTGTCACAGAGTTTTTGTTGAGCTAGTTGTTCATAGCGTTGGTCATGTCATTCCTGTCTTGTTTTGTTTTTTGTCTGAATAATCAGAAAAAATGACTGATAGGCAAAGGTAAACTTTGAGGCCCTGTTGCAATGCCACAGGTATTCTGCAGCTGGACTTAAGAGAAGACTAAAGACACTTGAATTGCTAGCCTGGCATGGCAATGAGGAAGCTTCTTGCTGGCAGAGCTAACGTTATAGGTGCCGTTTACAAAATCTGTAGTGGGATGATCTCAGGGGGAAATTCATACATTGATATTTAGATTCACCTTGTGACTACTCAAGGGAAGTGACTTGGTCCAGCAGAGCACCTGAGTGCATGTAGTGGAGCATGTGAGCATCCACTGACTCCTCAGGTAAATCACCTGGGCCTAATCCTGCACTGACAGATGTGAGGCACTTCAAAGGAAGGAGGGCTGCATACTCAGAGTCACATGCATAGTTGGCTGGATCACAACTTTACTCCTTGCTTTGTGCTTGCACATGGGCGAATTGACTTGCTCATTTTGGTAAATTGTTGTGAGGGTAGCCACATCATTAACAGGTGAGAGGTGCTCAGGTCAGGGCTACAACTAAAAGGTTTTTCTGGCATAGCTGTCTGATAGAATGATGAAGCTCTAGCTTAGTTAAGGCCTTAATTTACTGCTTTTATTTAGGCTTTGGTAAACACTGGAGTGTGGTGATAACAGAAGAATATTTCAGTAGTGTCAAGTTTACATGGTATTTTATTTTCTGTGCCCGCTTTTTCTGTCCATACTAAAAACATACACACACACACACACACGCATACATATATATGTAAAAATAAAATAGTTATAGTTAGCATAAATAAACGGACACCCCTTTTCCCCTCTGGTTTTGATACTCTTTTAGCAATGAGGCAAAAACAGTGTTGCTATAAACCCAGGGGGAAGAACGGTTGCCACTGTAACTGTATCTGTATAGTTGCACTTGGCGAAAAAGATGCTAGGTTAAGAGGAGAGCCTTGCACACATACATTCACACACATAACAACCTCCACTGAGTCTGTTAAACGCATCTTAGTAAATGGTATGTGCCTTAGACACTCAGCATAAAGCTGTTGACTTATAAACAATCTTTTATAACTTACAGAGAGAAAAAAATGCACTTGCATTTTGCACTGCTGCTGACACTGCACTATTAATTATCAAACAAGCACAAAATCAGAATTTACTGCCTTTATTATGAAGCTTGGTTCCCTGGCAAGAACCAGTCCAAGTCAATAGGTTCTGCTAAGTGGAAAATAAAATTATAATTCACAGTTGTTATCCATCTAGAATGGAATAAGAATCTGTTATATAAAATAGTGCCTCACAAAGCATAACAAAATGTTACTACCTATGTTTTAAATGTGATACCTCCTTCTTTAGCTTTTCCATGATGCATTGATGAAAAGCTCACTCAGTCAGTAGCATGCTTATTTTGATTCTATGAGCACTGTAAATTTCCTTTCTACAGAAAAATTAACCATTCAAAACACGGTGCAGTGGTTAGCAAAATAAAAGAAAAGAAAAAGAAAATTAAGTCTTTTTAAGATACGCTCTCCATCTTTGTAGCCACACGATAAACTTTTGCGGGAAAAAGCCCAAGGCTTAAAAAAACACCAGACACAGTCGTTATGTAGTTGACGTGTTGTTGCATGAAGCCTAAGATCAGTAATCAGGTAATATTTGTTTTGGAAAAAGAAGAGGGTTGGGAAGTATACCACAGTATATTCTTCAGTCTGACATTCATAATCTGGATGGTGCTGGATTCAGCTAACTGAGCTATAACCTATGAAATAAAATAAAATCTATCACATGACTCACTGAAATGCTTTGATGCTTAATTAAGGCATAACATAACCCATCAGAGACACCCTAAAGATAAAGTTATGGGGCCAAGGATGGAAATAAAGTTACTATTGGAAGTATAGTGGGCAGATGACATCCTTACCTGTGCTTGGATCTAACGATAATGAGTGAAGTGTTGGCAAAGGGAGGCCCTTGTGAAACCTCATGGGCAAGAGCCTGCCTACGCTTGGTGCAGATGAGGAGGAGTTACAGGTGGCTTTTTCTGGAGAAAGGCTTCATGTGGAGTGAGGGAAGGAGGAGAGGGAAGGCACATGAGAGGGCAACAATTTTCTGCTGAAGATTCTTAGGGACAACTGTACTGATAAAGTGCTGGGGACAAATTAGACCAAGATGACAAGCCCAGGTATGGAAGTAGATAGAGAAACAAGGCCTTTACAGCTCTGATGAAGGCTGACATGAAAAACGGGTATTAGCACATAGAAAAAAGTTGCCAGCAAAAAGGGAAATAAACATTTTGTGACTGATAACTGTTGGCTGTTGTTTCAAGCAAGCGCGG